CCTGAGGAGCCGTGAGGGACTTGCCTCTCTAGGGAGGGCTCCCTGACGGCCCCGGCGGGTTCTCTCACTCTCATTCCCCCCTCAGCCCCGCCCGCAGCCTTAAAACCAGCTACTCCCCACTGTAGGCTCGCCTGGGGTGAGCAAAAGCAAGCCCTTTTGCCATTTCCCCCCTCCCGGGACGGAAGGGCTAGCTGGGGGAATTTGCAGAAATCCAAGGGAAAATTAAAAGGGAGTGAGCTTTTCGTAAAGCATTAAAAATAACTGAGAGGAGTTAGATAAGGAACTGGTAAAGGTTGCTTCTTAGGAGAGGAATTGGGTGCCTGGAGGAATGAGGTGAGAAACTTTTCCCTCTCTGTCCTTTTAGACTAACCTTTTTTTTTTTAAAGATTTTATTTATTTATTTGAGAGAGAGAGAATGAGAGAGAGCACATGAGAGGGGGGAGAGTCAGAGGGAGAAGCAGACTCCCTGCCGAGCAGGGAGCCCGATGCGGGACTCGATCCAGGGACTCCAGGATCATGACCTGAGCCGAAGGCAGTCGCTTAACCAACTGAGCCACCCAGGCGCCCTAACCTTTTTTTTTTTTTGGTATCCTCCCTCCCCTCACCCCAAAAAATTTAACTTAAAAAAAAAAGAATTTCCAAAGGAAGTATTCCGATAAAATAGAAACATTTACAAAGTACAGGGTTTGGGGCCTATGGTAGCTAACGATGCTATTGAGGACACTGACAGCCTCTTACCTCGCCTGTCGGAACAGCTTAACCAGAAAGCGCGCTTTTTAGTTTTAGGCATCCCCTCTTGCCTGTCTTATTTGTTTTGACACATCCTTTCCAGAGGTGGGACTGGGGCCAGAGTTGTCTTCAGGTTCTCTGTTTCAGTGGGCAGCGAGTGACAGTTGATGGCCCATGCTTATGGTTAATAATTGAGCCTTTCTATACCTCCTGGTATAGAAATAAACAGCCTGACCATTGTGGTGCCCTTTCTGTTCCTCTGTGGTGGAAGTTTGACAAGTTATTTTACGTACCTGCAGAGAGAATAAATAGCATGTCCTGTAGCATAAACTCCTGGTTAGAAATAGAGCAGGGAATAGAACTCAGGTTGTCCTAGTTTGTCTCCTTACCACCTTTTTCCATAATAAAAAATACATTTGTCCTTTCTCACATTCCATGCATATCTTAATCTGATTGGCTAATCACCTCTCCTATTACACAATGAACAAAAACTCTGGGCAATCAGTGTGTGACTTTGAAGTAATAAGATTTTGACAGTCGGTAATTTCAGGTACTCAGGAGAACTGGTGAAGAACATATTTTGGAGTGGACGGTTGAAGGTCATTTCTAGCAGCTTGTGTTCTGCCTTTGAGCCCCACCCTGACAATATACCACCATACAGGCTAGTGGTGTTTTTTTTTTTTTTTGAAGATTTTATTTATTTATTTATTTGAGAGAGAGAGCACAAGTGGAGGCAGGGGCAGAGGGAGAGGGACAAGCCACCTCCCCGCTGAGCAGGGTGCTTGATGTGGGGTTCGATCCAAGGACTCTGGGATCCTGATCTGAGCTGAAGGCGGACGCTTAACTGACTGAGCCACCCGGGCGCCCCTAGGCTAGTGGTCTTAGGACATTTTTAAAAAATGGAATCTATAAAAGAATTTGAAAGGACTGTATAACCCCTTGTTCATTTAAAAGTTGGTATCTAACACAAATTTAAGTACTTGTAGAAGATATAATTTCTGAGTTATTGTAATTTTAACATTTTAAACTAAAACCCTTCTGTAACTCTTTAATTGTATCCAGTGGACTCCAAATACCCTAAATATTTGATGCCCACCATCATCTATTTAAAAATATGTGAACAAGCCCTTTAGCAGAAATTTTATATGGTTCCCTTTCTTCTTGAACTCCTAATTCCATTCACTTCCCCTACAGAACTGTATCCTAATTAGTGTATTTGTATGTTTTAAAGACTTTCATTGATCACTGTCACACTTCTTTGCAACAAGAATGAGTATAAATTTAAGTTTATTGCCTGTGACCATAGGCTTTAATTGTTAAAAAGTTTCTTTTGAATTGAATTGTCATTACCGTTATTACTGGTACACAATTTATTAAAAAAACATTACATGTTTTTATAACTTGTGAAACCTAAAAAGTACAATCTTTATTGAAAATGCATCCCTTGGGGTGCCTGGCTGGCTCAGTCAAGAGCATGCGACTCTTGATCTTGGGGTCGTTAGTTCGAGCCCCATATTAGGTGTAGAGATTACTTAAATGAATAAATAAAAACTTAAAAAAAGAAAAAGAAAATGCATCCCTTAATGAGAAATACGGTATTTCTTAATTAGTTCAGGTTTTCATGGATGAGTTCAGGTATTCAGACCTAATGGTAGAAGGAGATAAGGTGCAATAGCCATTCTCTGTTTTTTATTTTTACAGACATAAGCATTGAGAAACCTTGTTCATGTAGGAATTGGGAAAGGAAGAGATTTGTTACAGCATTAGTCCTTGAGGCTTTGAACTACTCCTAAATTACACGCCAATAATCACAAGGTGTTCTATTACCAAATAATATTCTCAAGTACTATCAAATAGAGTCCTTTAATTTTATTAAAAACAAAGAATTGGAAACCACTGAACTTGCAAAAGGATTTGTCATCTAGTCATTAGAGTCTCAGTTTCAGTCTTATAAAAATTACTGTTAGTTACCTGTTACCTTTTCACTCAGAGGCACCTTGTTAATCAGAGACTGATTTTCATACTCTTTTACCAACACAATTTTTTTTGATAAAATTCTTTTATCATTACGTTTTCAGGATCTTTTTGTGAAAATATTGAAGTGCGGATTCACTTCAGTATGGAAAACACCTACCATTTGTGGAATTAGCAAAGCCAATCTTCTTTCAAACCAATTAGCTAAATCAGACTTACTTTCTGTTAGGAAAAAGTCTGACTTTATTCTTCAATTCAAATAAATATGTTAATATTTGTTTTAAAGAATATTGTAAAAAATCATTGGGAAATAAGTTACTAGTTGTAACTTATAAAATACTAAAAATCAGTCATGATTAAAATTATATAGAGTTAATATTAACATTACAAAAACTGTAAAAACAAGATAGTACTATTTCTCATTATATAATTTGGAATAATGCCGTGTAATATGTAGCTAAATCTACTAGTTAATAAATGAGAAGTAGGATCGAAGGCATGTTATCCCCTTGGCAGATATGGATATGTGCTCGTGTTGAATTCTGATGTTTGGCTTTGGGGGACAATTAAATAAGAATCATGTTTAAAAATCAGAAATAACTCCAATTAATTTTTTTAGACTTCATGACAAACTTTTTCTTACATACTTAATAAAAAGGAAAAGTATATTTGCTAGGAAATAATGGATTGAACAGCTAACAAACAATTTGGTTTTACTAGTAGGAGGTAGAAAATAGTAAACATTTTATAAGATGAAATAAGAGAACTGATTGTAATAGGAATATTTTTATATGAATGGAAAAAACAACCCCTCCCTCCTATTCCCCAGGTTTTTATATCCTGGGCCATGGATGAAGATTCAGTGTAGGTGAGGGATATGCCTTTCTTTTTGTAAAGTAGGACAAGGACTATGCTGAAAGAGGAGGTGGAATGGAGTGTGCCTAAGTATCCCGACTGGTTCCCAAACAGATTCGTTTGGGGGAAGATTTCTAATAGAAGTTGAGGATCTGGAAACTTACTTCCTTAAAATGCCCCTCAGATTGATTTCCTTGCCTAGTATCTCTTGGAAGATCTTCACATACCCTTGGAAAGAATTCCTTGGAATGTCTTCATGTGCCCCGTTTTATAAAGACTGATATAAGCAGACTCAACTGTACTGGCCCTGATTATACATTAATCAGGGACAACATCACAAATGTCCTAGGAAGAAGGTGGAAGACTTGGTGTTTTGGAATAAAAGAGGGTTAAGAGATAGAGAGGATGGCCCCAAGCTGATGTAGTCATAATAGTCCTGTATTGGTCCTCGGCTTTGCAGTTCTAGAAACGTGACTTTGTCAGCCCACCAAAGTGTTCATGTTTTGTCACACTAAATCAAACTTACAGGAAGTTTGATTGGAATGCCAGTGAATTAATATATACTCATAGCCACCAGGTAGACTGGATTTTCTCTCCTGTTGAGAAGTGTATGTGGAAAGATCAGTTGTAATCAGAATCTTACCTGAGGAGTATGGGTCTTGAGTATGGCTATTGTTATCAAGCTATGATAGCCTGATGCACGATTCAGGGCATGTAACAGGAGCTCAGTAATTGAGAAATGAATGCACCTATCCTTTATAGATGGTAACAAGGAAGTTTAGGATTCTAGTAGGCCAACCCAACATATTTTTTGATCAGGTAGATTTTGCCTTGTTTCTCTTAAATTGCTATATCATTTGGATATTAGAGCCAATAAAATTTTATGTCAGGGAATTACATAATTGTAACAAGTTTTATCTATCATCTCTGAGCCTAGAAATTGGGACTGTTCATTTGTAAGAGACTGGAGATTGTGTTCCTGTGCCGTATGGTAGTAATGGTCATAGTGGCTAAATGATATTTCAGAATTCTGTTGGGTGGCCAAGAGTGTACTGCCTAAAAAGAACAACTTTGCGTGACTCTCAGTGCTGGTATTTTGCTAGAGTGGGACATCTTAATTAGGGAATCTGTGGCCTGGCTAGATTTGGGGAACTGTACTATAGTGAGGAGAAACAATACCCTAAACTTCCCCTACTCCCTAGATCCCCTGTAGGGGATAATTCTTGATACTGCCTTTAAAAATAGAGAGACAAGCCTTTTCAGGTTCCAAAATCATTAGGAATAAGATGGATACATGAAACAATTTTATAAGTCCTATCTGAAAGCCAGAGGACACTTTGTTTCCAGCTCTAGAATAAACTATTGAGACAGAGGAATAGATGCCAGGCCAAGGAGTTTCATTTAGTATTTTAATAATAATAATAAAAAAAGACAATACAAAATCCAAACATTTCTTTTTACAAGTTCAGATACATTTTTTTCCCCAAGTGCAAAATACTCTATGAACTGCATCATTTACTGTTTATTGTTGATTGTGTAGGAGATGCTTACTATATTGGCAGCAGTGGAAGGCAGATATAAATACAACATTTTGAGATTCTTTTTCTGCATTAAAAAAAGCCTCCCACATGGTAATGATTATTCTCTGAAACTTCAGTTTAACTCACATAGAAGAATAAAGTTTTCGGTTTGTCCAAACTGCTACAATGTGTTGTCTAGATAAGCTGATAACAGAACTGGGGGTTCTATTCTCTCTAATCATATATTTTCTTAAAGGGTTCCTAGTCCAAATAATGGCCCAAGCACAGGGTGTGCTATCTTTGAGACAGGTCCTATTTAAAGATATCCTTGTGTTGTTTGCTTCCACTTTTGTGCTTTAGAAAGAAGCCAAGCAGGTTAACATTATTTTCTGCTTATGGTCAGTTATACTTTGTCTCCCTCCCCCTAATTTGAGCCTGTAATATTGAGGTTAAGCAGCAAATAACAAAGTTTGAATGCTCTATAATGTTTTCTGACATTTTGAGATATGACCTGTCAGTCCACTACAGAGTCCCCTCAGACATGCCTATGGAGAACACTTCTCAGATACAAAAATTTCATTAGGGCCAGAGACCAGGGCCGTATTACTGAACTTGCAGCAACAAATCTGAGCCTCCATTACCTCAAACTAACCCAATCCTCACGAAGTCAGAGCAGTCACAGCTCAGTGTCTTCTTCTGGGGATTTATAGGCCTGGGGTAGGGCAGCTCAAGTCTGGGCTCTGGTCGGTTTTCTCCTGACTGAGAGTTCCCTCGGGGTTTAGGGAATGGACCTGGCCTAATAATACAGAAAGAGGGAGGCAGAGAAGTAAAAAGGGATTGCCATGTTGCTGAGGATTTAAGTGCCTTTCTGATGTGCATCACTTGGCGCTCAGAGTCCTTGCAGAAATGGCTTCCCATTCCCAGACTCAGATCAGGGCAGGTTTTGTACTAAGAGAAATGAAGCCTCACAGTACTGTGGCCCTGTAAACACCCCCATCCTGCAGAGAGGCCTTGGGACTGGTTGATGAAGGGTTCCCATTTACACCATCTACTTCCTTCCTTACACTGGTAAAAACCGTTTTTTCTGTCTGACCTGTAAAAGGCCTAGAGAGTCCCTGAGTGTTGACTCCTCATTCAGTCTACTTAACCCCTGGTTTGATGCCCCAAGACTGGCTTCCTCCATATGTTCAGCAGTAGCTTTGCCTGGATTGTTAACCCCTTACTTGGACGACCTAAACTAATCGTGGTGGACATTAGCAGGTCTTTACCTGCTCACCAAGATCTGTTTTGACATTAGTTAAGAAGCCTAGTGGTCTATACTTCCCATACTGTGGAAATCATTTGCAGTTTCCAGAAACCGTGGAATAAATTACTGGAGGAAATATGTTTATGTGTATGTATGGGGTGACAGGAAAGGAAGAGAGCAAGGAGAAGCCAGACCCTGAAGGTCTAAGTTGGGAGGTACTCTGCTTAGCTTTCTAAGAGAGATGCAATGGTAGGGAGAGAATCAGAAAGTTATCCTAGCTTCTGGTGGAGAATGAGGATGGTCAGAGTGGATTAAAGCAGTTTTCATGGCATTTCCTGGGAAGTGTGGATACTTCTATTAAATGACCATTTTCTTGTATGGAAGCAGCCATGTTGTATCTTTATAGCAGAGCCCTCTCTGACTAAGAGAGACACAGGAAGCCAGACACTCTACTGCCAAGGGCCTGGGTGTTGGCTAATGGAAGTCGGGGGAACTAGCTTTGACCTTGGCTACCTACTGCCTAAGGCTATATTTGGCTGGTGAACGCTACTGATTAGGGAGTGAGGGGATGGTGCAAGCTTCTTTATGTAGTGTCAACTCTCCTGGGGGAGCAATAACCTGGGACAGTCACTTAGAAATGAACCCTAGAAGTTAATTGGTAGCCTTTGATTGAATAGAACTACAGCTTTGGGGGAAATAAAAGGAGCAAATGGAAAATAAATTTATAGGCAGCAGTGGAATGAGGGTAGAATGTGTGCAGGATGTGGGCTTGGGCATGAGCTTGATTCTTCCTTTTGAAAAGCAGTAGTGGAGGAAGCTAGGCTTGAAGTCAACTCCTAGAGGGAATGGCAAACCGGTAGGGGTAGGCAGAGGTCAGGCAAACTTCATGCCTGGATAACTGTCCTATTCTTGGTTCCCATAGCCTTGTCTCTGGCCTCAGGGCCCTGAGTCAGCCCATCCCCAGGGGGTTTGTCCTGATGCTCTTCCATGTGTACACCAGGGGAAAACAGGATGAAGGCAGGGAAAAGATGGAGGCTTTCCCTACTTGGGAGTGGAGAATCACTGACCGATTCCATCGGCCTCTACAGTCGTGAGGTCCATGCTGAATCCATAGAGAGGCACAGGGATGGCAGGATTGGATTAGCAAACACAGGTCCCTCTCCTTCCTGCTCCGTCAAGTCCCCAGAATTACTCTCCTACACATCAGGTGCCTCTGAGCTACAGTTTTGGGTTCTCCCAGCTGAGGGTTCCAGAGGTCTGAATGGCCACTGGTGGGGGAGCAGAGACAGATCAGATGCTCCAGCACTCAAGGTTCATGAGATTCAAAACCTTTTTTCTTCCACTTCAAACATACACTCTTCTTTCTTGGGCAGCTATAAATAGGTTTGTTCTAATAGAGGAAAAAAGAAACAAAAACAAAAAACAAAACCAGAAAACAAAAACCCCTCCCTCTAGACAACATAGGAAGACTCAAAATGATTGCACTTATTAGATGTGGACAGGGTGGGCAGAAGGCTCGCCAAGTGTGCACACATTCCTCTTGCTGCCCACAACCTGGGGCCAGCAAGGTTGTGGGCAGCAAGTGGCTCTGGGCTGGCTGCAGAGCAGGGTCCTCTTTGGTGGAGCCCACAAGCCATCTGGGGCTACAATGGAAAGACAAGTCTGGGGCAAGGCCCAGGCTGGCTTCTGGTCAGCAGCCATGTTTCTTTAAGGACAACACTTAGCAAGGGGAGTAGGGCTCCCCCAGGGAGCACTCAGGTAGGGGTGAGGAGATGGCTGGGCCAGGAAGACAAGAAAGGGGATTAGTGTTTGAGGCTGGCTTCCAATTGTTCTGTAGTCTAGTCCTTTAGATGATACATTTTCTCTTTCTTTCCTTCCTTCCTTTCTTCCTTCCTTCCTTCCTTTTCTTTCTTTCTTTTTTTTCTTCTTTTTTTTTGGTGATGCTTTAAAACCTGGTTTCTGTCCTGCAGAGCTATAGTCTTTCTGTTGGGGGGGTGACAGCGGCACATTCAACATGGTAATGCCTGCTGCTTTTCCTCATTCAGCTGCTGTCCACTAGCCCAGTGCTATGGGCCTTTTGTAAGCCCTCATGGATTGGACCCCAAGCAGATGTGGGGGAAGAAGGAAAGAAGCTGTATAGACAAGAAAGCCAGCTGTGTGGACAGTCCAGGGCTCGAACCATGTGCCCCAGAGTACCAGTGCTGGCATTAAGCCTGTAAGTCAAAGGCTTCTTTGGCAGAACCCTGGGTTGTTAGAATCATCCTGGGGGGCACAGCCAGGGGGCATTTTGGCTCCTGACTAGCAAGGCACAACCCTAAAATGGCAGAAGCCCTTCTTCTCCCACCCCATTCCCCACTTCCTTCATGGGCCTCTAGCACCCTTCCAAGCTGATGAGGCCAGGGATGTGGGCTAGTAAAATGGGCAGTGTGGCTGGGAAGGGGAAGGGGACACTGTTCTTTTACCCCTCAGGGGAAACAGAGCCAGCGCTTAATGGCTTTTCCAGGGAGCATGTAGGAAAAGAGACCACAGTAAGAGAGAGGGAGAAAGAGAGAGGCAGAGAGAGACAGGAAAGGAAGCTAGAGAGACAGAAAGGAAGAGTGCTTTGTCTATAGTGATTTTTTTTTTTCCTCCAAAAAGAAAGAGAGGAGAGAGTTCCTCATCTGGGGATGGGAGCTGCCGGCTCTGAGAGCTAAGGAGTCTGGGGGCTTTAAAACCTGGGTCTTGGGCTTAGGGGCACTATTTGTAGGGCCTCAGGAAGCTGGAAACTTTGGAGCGGAGTAGCTTGATGAAGGATTTTGGCAGCATCTCCTTGTGCTTCTCTGTGTACTTGAAGTAGTTCTGGGGGTGGGCCAGCACCTCAAAGAAGGCCTTGATGAGCTTCTTGTCCTGCAAAGGGTGGCAGGCAGCAATGTCAGCCTCAGCATTGGGGGTGGGAAAGAGGGACACCAGCCTCGACTCAGAAGCAGCCCCTCCTCATGTTGAGTAGGCATGCCCAGAGGTGACCTCTGGATTTCCATCCCACCACCTGTTCCTCGTTTAGAATCTTACAACTCCGTCATTGGCAGCGCCATCCTTCCCTTGCTCATGTCCCAGTCCTTGGAGTCATCCTTGACTCCTCTCTCTTGCCCACAACCACAACAAATCCTGTTGGTTCCACCTTCAAAATAATATCTGGGGTCTGACCGTTTCCCACAGCCTCCACAGCTACCACACTGTCCAGGCCACCATCATCTCTCACTTGGACAACTTGCAATAGCCTCCTACCCTGCTTCCTTGCTCCCTGCTCCCACCTACCCTTGTCCCTCTACAGACTGTTCTCCCCCACAGCAGCCAGAATGACTTTTTTGGTTTTTAATTAGATCATGTCCTTTTGCTATTGAAAACACTTCTCTGGTTTCTTTTTTCATTCAGTAAAGCCCAGTCCCTTGCATGGCCCATGGGCTGAAAGTGATTTGTACGCTGCTCTCTGTCCTCTAGTCCCCCTTGACTTTCTTACTCTGCTGAGCTCTCCTGGCTTCAGGGTTCTCAAACATGCCACACCACTCCCATGCTTCTCAGCTTAAAATGCTCCTTTCCTGATCTTCTAATGGGTAGCCCTTTACCTCATTTAGGTCTCCTCTCAGAGGCCTTTCCTGACCATTCTGTCTGAGACAGCAACATGGCGTGTGGAGAGCCTACTAGGCGCCAGGCACTGTGCACTGAGGCTCAGGTCTTCTGGCTTCTAGGCTAGTATTCTTCCTATGGCATCAGCAGATTTTTAAAATAAGAGACGGGGCTTCTGGCCCCTCATCCCCACTACTTTATGCATTGGAGTTCCACAGCACATCTGAAATAAGGGTTCAGATGCTTTAAAACATGTTCAAAAAGCACTGCTGAAATGATTTTCTTTGTAGTCTGCAAGTTCTAGGAGATTTTTGTCATTGTGTCTCTTATTTTGACGATAATGCAAAAATGATTTTAATAACCATAAAGATAAAATTTGTTCTTGCATTGATAATTTATGAAGGATAATACTGTTGCTAGGACTGTAGCTTCCCAAGTAAGATTTTCTCAAACGGATCCACAGACCCTGGGGGGTCTAGTTCATTCTTTAATGTTGGTAACATTTCTTTTCCTTTAAAACAGGTTGTGCTGAATTAACTCTGAGAAACACTGTGCTAGATCTGCTCCTTTTCTGTGGGAACTGAGGAGGGAGGCAGGGAAGGGAGGGACTTATGCAGAAGCATCTTTCTGTACCTCATTTCCCCCCTATTTCTTGGTACAAGCCATAGGGGACATTTCATCTCCTCATCTTCTCTTCCTCTTCCCCCACAGTATAAGGTAGTGTGAGGGACCCTGTAGTCAGATGGGCTTGGATGCACTGGGCAAGTTCTATAACTCTGTGCCTTAGTTTTCTTATGTGTAAAGTGGGAATGATGAAAGTACCTATTTCATAGAGCTCTTGTGTATATCAAATGAGAATATTCCTGTAAGCCCTCAGCCTACTGCCTGCACATTGTTACATGCTCATTAAATGCTGGCTATTCTTATTGCTGTGCTCGTTCACTTGCCTTTAAAATCTCCTGGTGGTTTTCAGACGCATAGAGCCGGCCATCTCGAACAATGTCTTCTACTAGCTGCTCATAGTCCTCTGCAAAATCAACCAAGGGGAGCAGTTTACGAGTGGAAACTCTTCCTGCTCCCCCCGCTCCCTCCTAAGACTCATGAGGCTCACCTTTCTCACCCACCTCCCTGGCATTCCTGCCCTTGCTCACCATCATAGGTAACATAGGGGATCTGGAAGCCACGAGCACTGTTGGCCTCGCTTGTCTTAAAGTTGATCCAAAGCTTCCTGGAGCGGGCCGTGAAAGCAATGGGCCGCTCGTAGGTCTGGCAGGTCTCATAGGTAGTAATGGAGGATGGGGAGGCTGGGAAGGCAAGCAGCAGGTCAGGAGAGCAGCAGGGCAGGCTACCCAAGCCCTCATGGAGGAGGGCCGTGGGGGGAAGGAGTCATGCTGACAGAGGCTCTCCCCTGTGCATGTACCTCCCCCACCCCCAGCATAAACATATCCTCTCCCACTGCCCTCTGCTTGTTCCACAACTCCTCTTTGATGTCCGGGCACTCACAGAGTGTAAGAAATTTGACATTTAAATGAATGGAACAGCAAAAATGCTAGAACAGGAAAGTGACATGTGTAACACTATTGGAGTTCTAATCCCAATGCTGGCTTTCTTAACTCTGCTCTCCACCCAACATAGAGCATTCATTGCTGTTTTCCTTTGTTAGCCTCTCTCGTCCCAAGGCCTCCCTTCTCACTGCCCCAGTTCTTCCTGAACCCATCTTCTCTCTCTCTCTCTCTCTCTCTCTCCCTCCCAACCAGATTTGCCCTTCCCTGGCCCAGCTCTGCAGCCACCCACAGTTCTTTCTCATGACGAGGACGTCCCCACACTCATCCTCAGATGGCAGGAAGATCTCGGGTACCACGATAAGGATCTTGCGCTTGGGTGGGGGGTTGATGTTCCAGATGCACTCCACGCCAGCTGGGTAGTTGCCTGGGTAGTTGGGGGACTCGATATAGCCAGTGAACTCACCCAGCTCCCCACCACACTGGCGATCTGTATGCAAACCCAGGTGCAAGAAAGAGAGCAAGAAAGAGAAGGGAAGTCAACAGGGAAATGGGTTAGGGATATTGAAGCGTTTTGAAGTGGAAATCAGACACATGTAGATAGCCGCCTTCCTCGTTCATCATCTCTTCTCCAAGTTCTGGGTCCACCTTCCTTCCCGCCCTTTTAGTACCTTCTCATCTCACTTCACCTCTCTGTCTCCCCACTACCTGTGTCCAGGGAGAGAGTGCCATGGGGCCCAGTCCAGCAACGGTCTTGGGATTGAGTGGGTTGGGAGAGGTGGAGGGTGGGTTGGGAGAGGTGGAGGGTGGGACTTTCGTGCCCACCCACTCCCTAGCCTTGCTCCCTGTGGGTTTACTTATCCCACCCCCAACCTCTTCTCATGGCCATTGTTCCCAGGCCTCTCTACGCCCTTTTCCACCGCCTGGCCTGCCACATACTCTTGCACTGGGCCACGCTGGTGGAGCCATCAAAGTCAGTGCTTGTGTTTCCTGGACAGCGGGTGCAGAAGTTCTGACGGAAGTCAGGCTGATAGGAGCCCATGGCACAGCGGATACAGCGATGGATGCTGGTGTTGTAGTAGTGACCAGGGGAGCACTGGACTGCAGGCAAGGGGGAAAGGTAGGAGTTAAGATGGCAGGCAAGTGGGAGTTCTGGGGCATGGGATGAGCAGGACATATTCATCATGGAGAAGCAGGGGACTGAAGATACCCAAGTTCCTTCAAAGTCCCAGCCTTTCCTAGTCATGCCAGAATTTAAGCCTAGGGAAAAACAAACTTGACAGACTGGTCGGCTACTGTGCCAGTCCTTTTCTTTCAGGCACTGAGCATCGTGCCAAACCTATAGAAACTTATTTGTAGTATTGAGGGGAATATGCTACCCGTTCTCCAAAGCAGAGGAGTAAATGAGACTGTTATTTATTCCCTAATTCCTGGACTTGGGACTGGTGAGGGTCAGGATGTGTCCTCTGAGCAGGACGGTATGGTTGGTCAGGCAGCTGGGCCCTTCCCAGTCTGGGGAAGATGGTGGGGCAACATACTTAGGTTTACTCTGGGGACTTGGAGAGTTTTTGGAAGTAGTTCAAGCTGGGGAGTCTCCAAGTGAGTAGCCCATTCACCTTTGGTGTCACAGTCTTGGAAGGAGATGGCCCCCTCATGCTTGGTGGTGAGGCCCCCACCACATGGGAAGCACAAGGTCCGTCCTGCTTCAGGTTGGTAGGTGCCCCGTGGACATGGCTGGCAGGGCTTGAACCCGTCTACAGAGTACTGGCCAGGTGAGCACTGACCTGCAATGAATCAAGGGCCCAACTCTGATGGGGATGGTCCTGGTCCTTCCCACGGATTACCCAGTCTCAGGGACAGAGGCACACAAACTGGATGTTGACGAGGAGAGTGGTCTGGAGCCCGGGCCTGCCCTTGGGAAATCCCATGCCCGTGGGCGTCCCAGTGCCCGCCCTACCCCACTCTGTATTGTTTGTTCCCCTGGCACCTGCACATGTGGTGATGTTGGTGGCTCCGAGAGGCCCGTGGGCATCACTCCCAGGGCAAAGGTCGCAGGAGAGCTGCCCTTCTCTCTCCTGGAAGGTGCCCGCTGGGCATGGCACACACTGCTCCGTCTGGCCGTGGTAATACGTTCCCTGCGGGCAGCTGACTGAGGGAGAGTCGGC